AACGGATAGCCCGCAATAGGTTTGATTAGTGGCCACTGTTTTAATAATTCGACTAATTTTACTGAAATATGAGCCGATTTCGCACCGGTATACCTCCGAAAAGATGAACCTGGAGTCTGAAAAGTCAACAAAATTAAGTTTATTATCGCTACACATAGTGGTAGTGATATAACAATTTACTTGTATTGTCGACAAAATTAATAAACATTAAAATACAGCAAACAATTACTGAATACACATTCATTGATAATAAAAACTTTTTATATTTGTTATTTTGAATTAATATCTAATTGTTTTTGATTTAAATTTGGCATAGTCAACAAATAGATAATAACATAATTGAAAAAATAAATTTGTTTCTCATCTTGAATGACGTCTAGCTGTCTATTAGTATTAATATATTTAAATTACTTTTTTATTTGGCATACATTCATATGTTTATTAATTAATTAAAGTCACGGTATGAACATTTTGCAATACAAAGACATATTTTATGAAATAGTTTTTAATCGCAAATCATTGAGTGATTAAACATATTATTGTTTTATAAAATGGTATTGATACTTGAACCATTTATTTATTTATGAATACAATTCGTGTTATTTTCTGATCACAAAATTCCATAATTCCTGTTTGATTTCAATCAGGTCTTCACCTTTGGGTGACTTTTCAGACATTTTTCTGGCCCTGTCTTTCAGTATGAGATCCTTTAACAGGTCGTCTACATTGACACCGGAGTCCACATTGTCTTTCAGATACTGTTTATACCAATTGATGGGATACTGAATGAACTCTGAAATGATTTGATCGCAAATTATCAGATAATTTGACACCTATTTCAATGGTTGTATACAAACCGTCGTATACTTTCTCAGGGTATATGCACTTCGGTCTCCAGAATTTAATGTCAATCTGTGTGAGTCCGGCGCCTTTGAGGGCCGACATCCACCGGCCGATCACCTCCTGTTCGCTGGGATACCGGAGCCACTGCTCGTATTTAGCCCTTTGCTCGACACTCACATTACGGTATATATCACCGACATATAGTATGTCAACGACAATGATCCCGGTGTTAGATAGGAGTCGCGACATGTTTTTGGCGGCCGTCTCCACATCTCGAACCCAATGGAGCGCATAGTTGGAGAAAATGACGGATACTTTTCCGCTCACTTTCTGAAGACTTTGATCCCATTTGTCAAAGTCTGCGCCGATGTCCTGCACGTAGTATTCGCTGTTTTTCAGTCCATTGTTTTGTTTGGCAAATGATATCATCTCTGTGTCGATGTCTATACCGATGATCTGTTCCGGTTTGAGCTCATTGTCCAAGAGTTTTACGGTGTTTCCCGGACCGCACCCGATATCTACAACCAGTGGGTATTTGCTGTTGGAAATTGATATTAAACACATAAATTAACCGGTCAAATTACAAAATAGAAAAGATTTTTAACAAAATTAACAAAATAGTACTTGATTATCTAGAAAATGCATACTTATTGTTATAACTTTGTTTGATTTGTTTGATGAGTTCTTTAGCGGGAAGTATGGCATCAAAACTGGTCTCTTCATATGTGGTCGGATCAAAGCTCATGACTAATGAGATAATTAGTAACTGTTAATCAAATCTAACCAATATAAAACAATTAAAACTAAATTAAACAAAAATTTCAATGTAAAGTTTAGCTAAAGTATTCAATTCTCCACTCAATAGTTGTAAACTTTCTGAGACTAATTAAATTTTAAAATTTTAATTAATAATCTAAAATTTTGTCTAAAAGTTTATTAAAAATGTACCAATGTCCCTGGTATTACAGTTAATTACAGTAATTAGTTATAATTGCATTTCAGGTTATTTTGACCGTAAAATAAATATTGTACAAACAAAATAACATTAGAGTCACACAAATAGTGTGAACTCTATGCTAATCTTAATTATTAAATTTAATTACTGTACCTGATTATAGATCCGGTGTTTGAAATTGATTAAAATTAATTGTAAATAAAACAGAATTGTTGGCAAAACAAAATACTTATTTTATTATTTTGTTTTCAATAGATATCGGCCATAATAGTTGTTTGAATGACTTAATGTTTAACTAGTATTTATTTAGTGAAGGCTGTTTGCAATACAGGAATCTCAAAGTCCTTGTACCTTGTACTGATACATGAATTTGATTCATATTGCATTTATTTGTATTACTAAGTCATTGCAGTATAGGTTTGAAGAACTTTGTATTATACAGTATCTGCTGTGATATACAGAATATTTTATACAATTAAACTTTTTAAATTTTCATTTATTGTTCAATGAGTATAAATGTACATAAAATAAATATTAAATTATATTGAATAAAGAATAATTCCAATAAATAATAATTAAAATATTCATGATTTAGATGCGATTATCTGCCAAATATAATTAGTCACTTCAATGAGGTCCTCGCCTTTACTGGACTTCGTGTCCAATCTCTTAC